CCCAGTCCTGCCTGCACTTGAACATGTTCCTATCAGTCGAGCTGCTAGATCCCAGGTCACTCAAACACACATGGAAATACCCTGTACCCTCAGATATCTGCATGTTTTGATCCATATAACAGAAGCCTGGATTTACCTGGATTTAGAAAGTGTTATAGGAGAACTTGATCAACAACCTTCAATATTAAGCAAAAGAGAATATTAGTAGAGAGCTTTCAGTAAAATAAATACATTGAGAATTGAGAAACACATTGAGAATGTGAGTTTAATAGAATGCTTAAGTAAACACTTAAATTAAGACAGGTAGCCCATTGTCTTCTTCAAGATCATGTTCAGCTGCTTTTTTTTAACTCATTCCTACATAGCTATCAACAGCAGTTTTAATCAAACTTTGCAAAACACTTTCCTATAGCAAGTGACACACCTGGAAAACTTATGTGAGCAAAAGCCAATGACTTGTCACGAATGTGACAGAGCACTGCAGTGCTCCTTCTGAAGCAGCAAGAGCAGGACAAGCAAACACCCAGCCTGCACAAGTCTGAACTACCTTCTCCTTCCATTGGCTGGATGACTAAATGTCGCATTACTGGGGCAGAAAACACTAAATTCTCACTGCTGCTTCTTAGAATGTCCACTGGGAAAAAACAAAAAGCTGGGGGGAAATATCCAGGGCTGTTAATTTGGCATCTTTCATGACACAAAATTCACACCAAAAAAAAAATTAAGAAGGGAAAAGCAACTGAGGCAGTTTCAGCAAAATGACTGCAAAGTTGTACTGAGCTGTGATAAAATGCTAAAAGTGTGGAGTGACTCTGCTTTCAAAGCAATTGAAAAGGTGCTGCTCAAATACAGCACTAAGCATAACCAATTTTTTTCTGGTAGTTTCTTCAGGCTGCCAAATGCATTTTAAAAAGAACCCCATTTAAAACACATCCTTATAGCAAAATGCACCAATATTATCTAATTGGACAGTGAAAGGAGGGGCTGGCTTCCTTTCTTTCAAGCAAGAATGGCTCAAGAAAAGAACATTTCTGTTGCACCACAATAACAAAGCTGTAGGTGACAACTGCATTTTCCTATCAGTTTCAGCCTTAATAGGTCAGTACTACCACTATCACACTGAACTTCAGCTTGCTGTATCAAAAAAATTAGAACAGACAGGCACCACTTTAAGGCAGTTGGTACAATTTAGCTTGACTTAATAGGGTCTTTCTGTGGGAGGATGGCAAGGGGTATAACAGTCCTAAATTTATATTCATACCTTTCTTTGATGCTTCATAAGATCAGCTGCTTTCATAGTATTGGTCATAGAGATATTTATCTGGTTCAGAACATTTACTTAGTCCTTGTTTGAATATCTCAGTCTTCAGTCAAATATTAGCAGATATTTTTTTAAAGTTTCATCAAGTTTGGATGCAAGCAGTGACAAATCTTTTCTTTTGTTTTTTTTAATGGCTCTTTGCTCTCCAGTCTGTTTTCTGTGCAGACATTTTGGAGCTGACCCACCATGTATTGCTGTTGCACTCCTGATGCTTTGAGAGGCTACCTGAAACAGACTCTAGGCAGTGTTAAAGGAAAAAAGTAGGTATTATTAAAAAGGCCTTCAAAGGATACACCCTGGGCAGTACAAGAGCCTGGCTGTGGCTGTGGCTCCACCCTAGATCAATGACAATCACACTTCTACATTATTTATTCCATTTACATATTAGGGTTAGCTGTCCAATTACAGCTTCAGGTTATGAAGTTCCATCCTCCCGGATTGCTCTCCTCAATTTGCTGTTTATACTTTTTGGGCCTGAAGCTGCAGCTGTGTCCTTGGTTCTCAGGCTGGAAAAGGATACTGTGAAGAGGACTTGGTAACGCTTTATATGGAGTTCAGAGTTATATAACAACACAGTACCAAATCTGGAAAATATGAAAGCTAAATCTTAAGGCATCATTCCCAACAGCAAGACTGACAGAGCAGTAGACAGTTCCTGAGCTCCTTCTCTAGACAATGTAGCTATCTGAGGCAATTTAGATAAATTAGCCCCAAGTCCCCTGCTGTTTTACAGAACATCAGATTTTCCAGCAATTAAAGGTGTCCTTGTAAAAGGAGGCATCCACTTCTCCAGGTCTCTAGGGTAAGTGATACAACTGGGGTAAGTGATACAACTGAAAGGAAGCTATGACCAGGATCTTCATCATCTGGATTGGGTGTTGAGGGCTACTGGCTGGAAAATCTCATTGAGTCTGGCTGAGTCCAAAACTCTGGCATGTGATTATTTCTGAGTTATAAATATTCGCCTAAATTTATTAGGGGGAGCCACAAATTGTTAGAACACAAATGGCTGGAATTGAGTCTGCATATTTGCATATGCACCCATGTTACAGACAATTATATTAAATATACCAAGTTAATATTTCTGAATTGATAGACTTTCAGTCAGGAAACAGATATATACCCCAAATTTATAAAATGTTCCCAGTATCTCTTATTAGTTTGTCCCATCTGTTTTCCTCAGAAAATGATCTCTCTATAAACATGAGCTTCTATGCATGATTGCTGTCACTGGTACAAATAGGAGGTGGAATTTCACTAAACAAAATTTTCACATTCCTTTGCACAGGTGATTATACAATCTTCATGACAATATAAGAACTTAGACTTACAACTTATGCAAAGCAATTAAGTAGGCAGGTACAGCGTCTCAAGTGCACTGTCTGAAATAATCAATATAATATTCAGAAGCTGTAACTTATCCTCTGAAAATGCAATGTCTCCTGATTTATCTATCACTGAGAGAGGAGAAAAAAACACTCCTGATCATAATAGGAATATTGTGGCATAAGACTTGGTATCTTGTTCACCAAGGCAATAAATCAAAGAACACAGCAGCCAGATTTTTGAAGAAAGAATGTTTTCAGCTGAAAGAGAACTGTCCTTGACTTTCTTCATGGGGATGAAAAACTATGATTCCACAGCAAATATGAATAAAAAATTAAAATGTACATATAAAATAACTGTAGTCCTAACCTCAGAAATCAAAACATGGAAAAATGAGAAATCTCTCCCTGTAAGAGGTTGCAATTGATAATGCTGTTTCAGGATACAAGGGGATACTGTCAGCTCATAATTTAGAGAACACAAAAATTAACCAGAAAAGCTTCTTTAATATCTGTTTTGGTTTTGTGCAAGTGTATTTCTGCGTGCATGTGGATCAGGATGCATGTGTGGCTTTCAGTTCTTTGCTACCTCTTTTTTTTTTTTTTTTTTTTTGCCTGCAAGAGCAACACAAACAAGGGAAGATTGACTAATGCACCTCAAGCTGAAAGCCTCTCTCCAGGGAGAACTGCCTTTGCACACACAGTGCACCATTAAAAATGGTGAGGCTCCACATGGGAGCACAGGGCTTCCCACATGCAGCAGCCTGCAGGATCAAGGGAATTAATGATGCAAAATGTTGTCTAAAGCAGCACATGACCAAAGAGTAAAAATCTATAAAAACTCAAGGAGCTCCTTGTAAATGAAAAATAAAAACAAAAAAGGTTTTTTTTGGCCTGTTCTCCCACAAGCATCCAATAGTTAATAGTCCCACCATCCTTTTACTTGTTTTTCTGATCGCCAGTTAGTTGTTCTTGAAGAGCTGTCAGTTTTCCCCTTTTCCCATGGCTGCATCAATTCCTGTATGGTGTGCACAACACAGAAGGGAACTACCTTCAAGCCAGATTCTTGGCCCTATTAGAAATTCACAACTGACGAATTATGCAAGAAAATGGTGAATCCAGGTCATCCTCACTCCAGCAATCCCCAGCAGTTGCTGTAGCCTCTGGAAGTGACAGCAGTCAGCCTTGAAATTTCTACAGCCATGTAATATGACTGGAAGCAATACCATGGAGTATACAGTTGGTATCATACAAATTAATACAGTGTAAATTCTTCCACTTTGCTGCTCACCCCAGTGAGCTCTTTCTTTCCCTTTCAAGAAGTAGCTGTGCTGATCAATAACTAGAAAATCTGATAGAACCAGAGAAAAATTGTTTGCCTTGTGAAAACCGTTTCTCTCCTGTAAACATTTGCTTTTAAACAGCATGGACTGACTGCAGCTGCATCCTACATCGAGCAAGCCAGCAGAAATTGCTCACCCTAGTTTGACTTAAAAGAGGCAGTCATTTCTACTTTTATCAGTCGGACTCAAACTTGACCCCTCACCCATCCAACTTATGGTCAACACCAAGGGATTGCAGGATCAGGATCATTAAGCACTGCTGAATGGACAAGTCCTAAAGCAAAGCAGAGGGACAGTCAATTGCAGACAGAATGCAGCAGATTTATATCCACTAGGTGAAAGAAAAATGACTCCTAAATGGGCTGGAGCAGCTGTGAAACTAGTCTGCCACAAGCAAGGATGAAGCATGGGAGTCTCAGAGAAGAGCCTCTTTGCTATCCAGCTCTAAAAGCAATTACCACAGATAAAAGCAAGTTCTTGGCAGGGCAGGCAAACTGACAGGGCTCAACTCTTAAACAGCAATCTGATCCCAAGGGACCTTCCAGACCACTTACAAACCTACCATCACAGCACCATTACTGACTGAAAATATGACAACAGAGTAGGACTGGGAGAGACTGTCCCTTCAAATAAACTGATGTTGTCCTGAAAGAGAGGCAGTAAAGAGAGGATTCCAGTGTAAATTACTGTCCTCAATGCACGTGTTAGGGAAAGCAATACAGTCAGCGTTAGTAAGAGTAAGCTTCAGTTCTGCAAATCAGAAAGTAAAACTCTCAGGCATTTAAATTTTTAATTGAATCCCCTTTTAGTGTGCTAAATCTGATTGTGATTAGCGTTCAGTAGTTAATTTCACGGATCAGAACAATTGTTCCATAATCTCCCAAACATGATTCTGTAAGGCCTAAAGCTGTATTACATTTCAGTTGTTCTATAATCTCCCAAACATGATTCTGTAAGGCCTAAAGCTATATTACATTTTTGCTGTAAGCACAAACTAATATAATTTTTAATAAAATATGAAATAATAATATATTACGTTGTATGGAGAGGCAATTATTTGGTCTAGTGGTAGACATTGATTTATTTTTTAAAAATCAGAGAAAAGCTCAAGGTTAAAGTGAAGAGTTAGAGGAAGACTGGAGAAAATACAATATCTTTCATTCTCTAAAAGAAAGTTTTGAACTATGTGTCTCATGAGCCATGACAGAGAGCAAAAACTGAGAAGACAGAGCAGAGCAAGAAGCTGGACACTGAAGCATGGAAAGATGTATGCTTATTATTACTTAGAGAGACAGGTGAAAACAACAAGTAAGTGAAAAAGCAAGAATAAAAGATCAAGAAGATGCAGTTAAAGCTGAAGCAGTAGCAGGTGGCCATGCTGTAAGAAGGGAAAATAAAGAAACCCTGCTTCTGAAAAAAATAGACAAATAACGTAAGTTTACAAAAAGAAGACCTCACAAATAAAACTTTCAGTATGTGGATGGCTGGAGTCAGAACTATAAAAGGTTTACTCAACAGGGAAATGGTTAAAGGCATTGTGTGGTAACTCCTCTGCTGAAGGTGCAGTTCCTTGGAGCAGGCTACCTTAGTGCAAAGTCCAGGCAAGCTAAGGCATGCATGGGTGCATCATGAACACCAGGGGAATCTAGATAGCATTAATACGTACAAATACTTGAGCTTTCCTTGATCAAGCATTAACCAATTTCAGATCCATCTGTTCTACTTTGGATTGCAGCCTGAATGTTGCATGTTAACTTCATATGCTTCTAAATTGCCATTGGTTGTATCTTCTATTAAATAATGTTCGTAATTCAATAACCATCTGGACAGAACAAGGGCAGTGTTCTCAGTAATTTCAAAAACACTACTTAGAGAGTGGGGCATAGAAGACCCGATCCCATGCCCCTAAATTCACTCCTAGGTTTGAAGAACACTTATAGCATCTTTCTGTGCCCAAATTAACAGTGGAACATTTAAACAAAATAAAAAACGTGATTTTGGTGAATAAACCAAAGGCTTGTAAGCCAAATTTTATGTTTTGTTAAACATAAGCTGTCTCCTGACCTTCAGAGCCCTTTTCCTAAGCAATGGAAATATGAGGCAAATGAAGAACAAATCATGTTTCCAACAAAGAAATGGGAGATAGAGAGCTGATTTAAGGAGATAGGATTTGATACAGTGAGTTAGTAGGGAAAAAAAACCCAGTGTAGCCTCCTTTTATGGCTTACTTAGAGCCTGCAGAGCCATCTCCATTTCAATTCTCCTCATTAAGGAGTTTTCTCATTTTCAGCTTCCCCCATTAAAGACATAAAGTTTAAAAGGTGTCAAATAACTGGAAGAAATTGTGTTTGTACAGTGAATTGAAATCTAGCAGCCTTAAGTTTTGCCCTCAATTACATCCACATGAACATATTTGTAACTTTGGTACTAATTGCAAGTACAGATGGTATCAAAGTCATTTATCTGCAGCTCTTGGGATTTATCAAAAAAATGAAGGTAAAGTGGCAGGCTGAAGTGACAACTCTTGGTTTACTCATGTGTGTTATCACTGATCACCAGCAGAAATAAGCTTGAATTTTGTGGTACTGAATGAAGTCATCCTAGCACTGAGCTGGAAACAAAGCAGCAGTTGTTTCAAAATTTCCTCCACACAGTACTATAAAATGATGTTCAAATAAATAACAGTAAGTGAAACAGTAAAATTTACTCTTTTTTTGTTATTGTTGTTGTTGTTGTTGTATTGTAAAAAAATGTTTATTGAGAAGAGCTGGAAATGTTTATTTGGGAATCTTTTGCTGTTGACCAGCAGCCTTTATAAATTATGCAAATTTCCCCATCAGCCCATCTTCCACTCTGTCAGTGAAACTTTCCTCTCCTCTGTTCCTTTTCATTCTTCTCTTTCTTCTGTCCCTCTACTGTGTCATCATCTACAGTAAGACACCTGCAGTTTAAGACTGTATGTGACTTTAATCTGTCATTTTCTTTAAAACGTCTGTTTTCGGATCAAACAAAAGCTTGAAAATACTTACCTCCTAAAATATTAATCAACAAGATAACAGGAGAGGTACCATCATACAAGCTGCTTAGAGTTTCTAGCCTAGTCAAAAGAAAAACAGACGAAGGTGCTGAGAGAATTGAATGTAATGGTATTCTGAAATAACATTAAGCTGAATTCTACAAACTTTCTTAATGATCAGCCTGGCTTGGCTTTTTCTAAATACTCTCCACTAACTCAAGTAATAACTAAGAATGTAGAATTAAATAAATCTTTAGTCAAAGTCAACATTGCTCTGCCTTTTGCCTCTAGAGACATATTTACTTTTGCTGTTAATGAATAGCTTTGTGTTATTTCTATTTAAATATTATGTATTGCCTACTTCTTCCAATTTTTATTTGCTCCTTGGAACATCTGCAATTTAACACTCAGACTGGTATCTACCTCTTCGGTACATCAGAATTTTTCAAAAAAAGTCACTGTCATCATTGAATAACACTTAATCAATAAAACACAATTTCCTGAACAAAAAAAGTCATACCTGAAGCCCCTTCCAAACAGTTATGGTTGATTTCAAAACCCTACTTACCATACAATTCATATCCTGCATGCATAGAAGGAATCCTGTCTGTCATTCTGTCATTTAAGAGCAATAGGCATACGCCAGATTGACAAGCAAATTATTCTTTCTAACCCTCTAAGTTCATGGAGTCCCTTTGGAAAGAGCATGGTCAATAAAGGGTTTCTCTGGAGGATTATTTTTTTTCAATTTTTTACCCTTTCTGAATGAATTATCTCTGAAGTGTTTCTTATGCTCTGGAGGTCCTATTTATTCATCCTACCAACTTGTGGGTTATATTGTGCATATGAGCAAATTATTCTTCCTGTTCCTCACCAGCACATGCAAATGCTTGCGTTTGCCATGGCCCTTGCACAAATAGTGCCTAAATTACATTCTGACTCTCTTTCTTTTCTGTGCTTACTACCTTCCTGAAGAAGGAGTAATACTAATCTGGGGCCTCCAGTCACTAAGTTTTACTATAGCAAACTGGAATTTTCTGTCATCAAGTCGTACCAGAAGAATAACTCATATACAGCATGATATTGAAAAAGTGCTTGCTTGTACCTGAAATTTCATTTGATTTTCCAGTCACATTAGAATCACAGAACCATAGAATTTTTGGACTGGAGAAGACCTGTAAGGTCATTGGGTCCAGCCATTAACCCAATACTGCCAAGCCCACCACTCATGTCCCTAAGCAGCACATCTACATGTATTTTACATACCTGCAGAGATGGAGACTTCACAACTTTCCTGGGCAGCCTAGCTGGCCTAATGAAAGCTGTAGTGTTTTACTGTTACCACAGCCTCTCCAAAAGGGACTTGTTTCAAAGAAGAAAAAGATTGTATTTAAGCTTGTCAGTTTTTCTTATCAGTTTTTCTCTGAGTAAAACAAAAACATGGCATGGTTTTTCTGTCTCCTGTATCACCTGAGAAACTGAGCCCCGAGCAGAAGATTTCAGTCTGGAAGAGCTCAGTCCCAGGGGTCCCACTCCTTGGGGTCCCAGTGTAGTGGTTCAGCTGTTTCCATAGCTACCCAGGTGTCAGTGGTTCTCACAGCCTCTCTGCTCTGGGAAAACCCACCTGGTTTTGGGAACTATACATCCTCTGGGTATGGACCCTTGAGAGCACTTTCCCCAGGTCACCCAGGCTCAATGTTGCAACTATTGGTCTGCTCTTTTCTTCATACACCTTTGGAAAGAGAAGAAATGCTACTGAAGCTCAAGCACTGCAAGTATTTTGTCCTTATTTTGTGTCTACTGTTAAACAGTGGACAGAGTTTACAACAGTGTCCCAAATTGAAAAGGAACATTGGCTTCAGTGCTCCTTATGGTCATGCCATGATTGAGGTGGACAAAAGCACAGGCATGATTTAACCCTGACCAAATTGTAACATCTACAAAAGCTACTGACATCAAGCTTTGCTTTAGTGCAGACCTGGCAAAATAAAGAACACCTTTTATTTTTCTTTCTTTTTATAATAGTAAACTATTTTTCCATGTTTCTGAACTATGCAATAAGGATATTTTAGCTTGTGGTGTTACTGACAGTTGTCACTGCTGTTTGTATAGCTAAAAGGCTTTAGGGGGCAAGAGTGGTGGGTTGATTTCCCAGTTTCATGAACCATTTAATCTGGCAACCAATTAAATATTTCTAGAAAGACCACAGCCTGGTTTTCAGACTTGGAAAGTGGATACAAATATCAGACACATTACACAAGGCCGTATATCCCCTAAATTGTGAACCAAGTGTCATATGTATAGACTCTGCCAGCTGCTGACTTGTTTTCACTGTTCACTATGCATTTGGTCTGAACGAGGCAGTCCCACTATGTTTACAAGCCTCTGTTTTGTAGCAGGTTGAAGTTAAAATATAGTATCTTACTTTGCTTTGGACACAGTGAAGATTGCTTTAAAGAGAAGCTCATTCTGCATGTGTAAAAATGCAGATTGAATATGGTTTTACTTTGTACCTACCCAAGTTTTAATACTGCTTGTAAATTTTAAAACACAAAAGATGTAGAAGTGCAGGCCTTATGTAAAATTCATCACAAATCTTCAAAACAGGTTGGATATGGCCAGTGACAAATGATGCTCTATAAAGCATTACATGACTATTTTTAACATACCCCTCATACATAATTTCTCCTGCACTGACTGCCCAGCAATATGAACATGTTGAAATACAAAGCATTAGAAATGACGGGCCTTCATATCTCCAGGTCTTCATATCTCCACTTAATCTTCACAGGACCCCTACTCACTTGACTTCATATGAGAAGCAAATAAAAACAAATGGAACCATCCCAACAGCTTAGCTCTAGCCATCTATTTCTATTAATCACTACTGCATATTCCTGGTGAGTGGACGTTAATTCAAAAGTTCCCAAGCATTTCACTTGTGTCACTGTTTTCATCTTTACTTTCCCTTACTGGGCAATAATTTCCCTTCAGCTGAGATCCTAAAGGTTGTGTCCTCCCCACACCAATATCAGCAGTCATTGAGGACTCTAACCCTCAGGTCTAGTATTCTCAAAATGCCTTTTTTACTTTTCCTTTTTTTTTTTTTTTTTTTTAAGCCAAAATTTAATTTCTCCATCGCTTTCATAAAAGAACAACTTTATTCTACCTCCTACCTCTCTAAAGCTGTTTACTTCAGCACCCTCCTCATTTTTCATCCACTACCTCCACTTTTGTCCTTCACTGTAAGATAGATGATAAACGGCCCATGCATCAGCATGCATTGGCTTTCATTCCCAGTTTTGCCCACTCACTTTCTGCATCACAGGATTATCTGGGATCTGAATAAAAGCTAGGATCCATCTCCCCCAGGCCATATTAAAGGCAGGCACACAAGAATCTATTTGCAGGCATCGTGCTGCTATGCTGGCACCAGCCTGTTACAAATGGGAACAAGGAAGAGTCAAAGTAGAACAGATAGCAATGAAAAAAGTACTTCTCCCAGAAAGGCTTGAGGTCCACTTCCTGACTTCAGATTACATGTCTCCTCAATGCACCGGCTGACTTTGCTGCAGCTTTGGCTACGTGTAAGGGCTAGAGAAGTTCTGTCCCCTGTGCCTTTGCTAGTCATGTTGTCAGCATGTTTACCCTTCTATAAAATGGAATAGTACCACACTGCACGCTGTGAGCCTTAGGTAAATAAGCCACTTTTGAGGTTCTCAGTAAAGGATTCTGAAGGTGAATTCTTCATCAGAAAAATTTCTTTACTGAAAGGGTTCAAAAGCATCGGAATGAACTGCTCCGGGAACAGCATAGCACTTAATGCCAAGTTAAGGCTGACATGGCAGTGTTCAAAGGTTGGACCGAATGATCTTGGTAGCCTTTGCAAGCTTAATGATTCTGACTTGGTGTTAGTTGTGTTTTTATTTCATACTCTGGACCTGCACTTTCTTCCAGAATCAGTCATTGTCATCCTGCGTGTAGATACTTGGAAGTGCCTCTTCAACCTTCGTATTTACACTGAAGGGCAGATTAGGAAATATTGCCTCTTGCAAGCCCAAGCACTCAGCGCGAACTCCCAC